AAATCAAACCGATCATTTGATTTTAAAATTTTAACAATTAAAAAAGAATTAATTGTAACTCATTAAACATAAGTATATGTAGGTATAACATATAGTAAGTACCTAGTCATCATCGTCATGACGTGATTTATTTTAATGTCATTGCTCTTTTAGAGTGTTATAATATAATATTATGGAGCTCTCATCAAAAAAAAATATTTTCTATTAAATGAGAATACATTTTTTTTTTAACAAGTCTATTACATATTTACATACCTATATTTAGTAGGATTTAATATTAGAACATTTTTATCAGTTAAAAACATTCATATTATAATATGATTATTTTTGCGATTTACAACGTCATTTCATTTAAATAAACTAAAACATAAGTAACTAAGTAAGTACATTAAGATGTAAGTTACGTAAACATGACTGGTTTGCTTGAAACTGTGTTAATATCATAATAGGGAACTTGACATTCATTGCATCACTGGACTAAAAGTAACTTTAGATACAAGCGGTTTAACATTGTTAACAGAACCTTATGCAATAATTTATATATAAACCTGCTATAGGTGTATTATTTATAGTTTTGTAAACTACTAATAAACATCGAAAAGAAATTTGTTTTAAGTGTTGGTCCATAACCTCGGAACCTCGGATATTTTTAAAAAAGTGGTCTTAACTAAAAATGAATGGAAATTAAGCAGTATTTACTTTATAGAATTAATTTAAAAATTATAAAATCATATTAATTGAGTACACTATGATTATTAATTAATATAGATATAGGTACTAGAATATTATCAATATATGTATACATAATTGATTATGTGTAATAATTATTAAACTAATAAATTGTATGACTCGTGGATTATTTATTTTGTCAGTAAACTTTATAATAATTAATAATTAAAATGACCCATATAAAATAAAACATCTACATTTATTATTGCTAACAGAAATAAATAAACTGTGCGGCGTGAACTAGTACAATTTGATATATCTGTACGATTGTATCATAGTAATCAAGGATTATATGTTTTAACGACAATTTATGCGATTAATATTATAATACATTGTCGAAGCATATACTTAAATACTGTTTAAATTTTAATTAAAAACAATTTATGTTTTTCACGCGTCGAAATTCTAGGAGAATTTAAGTAATTATAAAATATTACAGAAGCTCTTAAACTCGTTTTAATATAAACAAAAATTCTCATATTTTGTGTTTTACAATGTAAGATGTGCAAACTATAATCACATTACGTATTCATTTATATATTATAGTATCAATTTATGAATTTGTATGCGAATATTTGTTTATTTTTCTTCATCAGTTTTCTTATTTATAAAAAAGACGCTGTGTTTGCAATACTAGTTATACATAAAAGTTCTTATCAAATTCAAATCGTCGTTAAAATAAAAGCGTTTAGGCAGTTAAAAAGTTGCAACAGCGTTTCACACAAAACGACAAGCAATTTATTTAAATACATTTTTTTTTTTTTAAACTGCTGAAATCTTTGAAATAATTATTCGGTTATTTAGAAGTTTATAATCCGGTTTATTTTTAAATAAATTAATAGTCTACATTTTTAGATCAGAAATAGTATGGGTCTTATGTTTGATATTCATAGTAAATGAATCATTATTAGATAAGTTAAATCGATTTTATTAAAAATTAAAATACGACATATCGTATAATTAAATGATTAGAAACAGTTTAATGGAATAATCTTGTAAGTTATTGATGGCTTATATACTATAAATGTTATCACTAGGACTCTATTGGAACATAACAATATGAATACGTCATATCTGCGAATATATTATTTATCCAGATCTTATGTTTTATAACATTATTTGTTMCATATTATTATAATATGCGTTATATGTTACTAATGAATTAGTTTTTATGTGTAAATATATACCCTGATACTCATACATTGAGTTAATCCATATCATATAAGTATTGATAATTTACAGGCTGTGCCCTTTAAACAAAAGCGGTGCTTATAAACTAGATTTAAACAACAAAAGCAATAAGCCAATAAATGCAATAATAATAACACATTTTTAACAAAAAAAATAATAATAGTATTGGATTTGAAATGTGAGGTTTGTATTTACAATATATAGATTAATTTTTGATATAATTACTTACGAATTGGGGATTAAGAAAATACATATATTATTGTGGAAAAATGAAGTAGTAAAGTAAAGTAAAGAAGTAGTGATAGATAACAGATAAAAGAGTAGAAGAGTCTATTTATCTATTAACTATTAGAAAGCTAAATAGGTAATGCAACACCATCCAGTAAATGTATTTGATAAATAAATATTTTCCACATAATATAAATAATTTTGAGCATAAATCAAACATTTTTATTCCGTGTATAAAATATTAAAACAATGCTAAATTAAATATCATAAACACTTTACGACAATACATGACCAATAGTCATCAAACATATTATTAGTACAGCAATCGCAATAATTGCATTAATGAATTTTTCTCGACGCTATTTACAACCTTATCAATGGCTGCATGACCCCAACATGAGAATAAAACGTTCGGTACACATATTTTATATGAGACACAAAATCTTGGTTAAGATAAGATAAATTTAAAAAAAAAAATAGTAGAGACAATAATAAAACTGTTGACTTTACTGTGTTTGCAAATTTGCAATGTGATACATAATATCGTAATTTTCATAAACCGTGGGTCTGTATAATTATATTTACTTTGTTGGTAATGTTTAAGTGATCTTACGTAAATGGGCAATCAAATCAGATCATGCTTGAAGTGTATTCAAATATTCCATTCCCCTTACAATCACAGAACAAATGAATACTATACAAGGTTTATAATTTATTGTACTAGTGTGGTAAGTATGCTTACTGAAGTATAGTATAGGTATACTGCAGTCTCAACATTGGGTGAAAAACGATTACGAGTCACTGGATCACGTATATTATGTTGATAGGCACTTAATTCCTTTTTTGTTCAAAAAAAACTTCTTATCTCGTTTTTCTTTTGTCAAATGAATTCAATAGATGGTGACTAACCAGTAATCAAACAATAATAATTACGGTTACGATATTAGATTCAGAATTAAAGATGATATCGATGAACTCTTATCATATTTTATCCAGCATCATTAATAATATAACAAACATAAAATTATATTATACTGTTACACTTGTTACATAAATAATGTACATATATGTATATATAGGTATTCGTAATTAGTAATAAATTATGGTTTTATTTTGTACAGTGATATTAATATTGTAGAAATGGTATGAATAGCATGATTATTCCAAACATGGATGTACTTACTATATTTTAATGATCGTTGTAATGTTACATTAAAACGGAATTAATGGGCGTGATTAATTTATCGCACGTTAAACATTTTAACAATGTTTCACTAAAAATGTTACACCGATAATCTTGTGTAGACATAGTTATTACAACGTGATCCAGTGTATTATTCACAAATGTCTTTTTACCTACATTCTATTATATGTTATATGTATCTATTAATATGTTATAAGTTGAATATAGACATCTATTAACTTCAATTTGTTTATTTTAAAAGTTAGGTAAAACAATCGTTAATCAAATCACGTAGGTAGTGGCATAGGTATTAAATTAGTCGTAACGCATCTAATGCCATTATCCGATATCCATAAAAAAAAAAATTTTAAAAATGTAATATAAATAGAAATGTTAATTAAAAAGTTATTTGTATGTGTGTATTTCAAACGAACTTTCAATTATTTAAGCTAAACTATTTCTCTTTGAAATCTATTCGGAGATGCACGTTCTTTTTTCAACGTTTCTGCTATTGCTGTAGTCTTCTCTCCAGCCAGACKTGAATATAATTTTAATTTGTCATCGCTTTCACGAGAACACACTTTGATACAAGCGTTCACGTCGCCGAATAACTTGAAAATTAAAAGAAAAATATAAAGCGTGAATATAATTGTAATATATTTTGAGAAAACGTCTGGACTTGCAATTCGTTATTATTACAATATAATATCAACCACCCAATAATAATATTTTAAAAAAATCGTAAGTTACCATCGAACTTTTGATGGTGCCACTAAGTGGATAATAATTATATACGCACACATTTCCAATATTTACCGTATTTTTAGTATTTGTATACAAGTATKGTTGTTAAGTATTATATATTCCTACCATACATCACGAGAACAAACACAATTACTGCAGATTTTGATTAAAATGATGTGTATATATTTACTGAGCCAGAAATAATGGAAAGGTTACGTCAACATTTACGATCCCAACATGCAAGTTTCGGTTCAAACGTATGAAATCCTCGATTCTAAGCTAAAAAGAAAATGATTTTAGAAAGAAACACAGATAATGTTTATCTACAAACCATAATAATTGTATTTGTATATGAATATAAAAAAGAAAAAATACGATTCTACCGGATGTGTTTGGAAAATTACAGATCAATCGAGAATTATGTTCAGGTCGGTTTTACACTTTTCATCGGTTACGTACGATAAAAACTCTTAAGTCACATACTATATAATATTATGCCTATACTGATTGTACTGACTTTTGGCAACTCCGTTGACCGTTCTCGCCTGCGCTCAAATAAAAATCTCGAATCAATCGAATCGTATTATAGATTACAGCTCATAGATGTACCATATATATAATATATATATAGGTAACTGGGGTATCTAGCTACGACCGACCAAACGAGCTGTTCTCGGTAATATAAACGTCACATGAAAATGTTAAAATAATCATCGGCTCCGATGGCACCGCCACCACCGCCGCCGCCGTTTGACCGCGCCCATCGCCTCCGCCGTAGCCGTTATGATATTATCATCGTCGTATAAAATGAATACGTGCAATGTATAGCCGTCACCCCGCCGCGACGAGCACCGACATGATCAATACGTGTAACGACGTGCCATTACAATAAAATATTATAATAAACGACTATGAAACAATTACAACAGTACACCACCCGTGTATAGTATCATAGCGACATCACAATATGTAGGTATCATCGTGTGCTCATCGGTACATCACTACATACGCACGTACGTACCGTCGCATCACGTCCGCGCGCGCATACACACACGACACGCACACAGACTCAAACTCGAGCGCGCCTGCTCGTCTATATACACGTGACACGGGCGCGTCGGCGGCAATCGCTTTTCAGTCCGTCTTCGAGAAGTGTCGCGCGTCCGTCCGTCCGTCCGTCCGAAATCCGCGTCGTCCACTTCGAACGCGTCCGCTGCCGAGAATCGCGCGTCGATCTCCTGTCGTTGGACAATCGTTGCGACCGAACCCGTAAGCATTGGCGTCGTCCCGAACATGTGACGCGGCTGCCGCCGAAGCGGACGGTGCCGCACCATCGCCGCCGCAGCAACCGCCACCGGCCCGAACGTGCCGCACAGCACCGCGCCCGCAGCCGTCCTCGCCCCGGCTGGCCACTATGATCGGCAGATTCTTCAACAAGCCCGTCGGCCGGCAGTACGTGGCCGCTTTCGTCGGTGAGTATATATATACTGGTTGAAAACCGACCAGGCGACTCTTTGACCGAGTCCGCGAGAACCCATTACCGGGTCACGTATGGTAATATATCCTCGGTTACCACAGCAATGTGAAGTCACGGACGTCAAATCACTTTATTAGAAATTTAATAACAGCTTTTGATGAGTTCAGTGTCGAAGCTGGAGGTAAGCCAAATTGGGACCGGGCCTTAAAAACGCTCAACTGTTCCGTCGTAAAACTTGAACAAATCGAGATTAACGAAGTGTTTAAATCCTTTAACGCAGACGTGTATTGATTTTTATCTGTTGTGCCCATACTGCTGTGTGAGTTGCTGTATATTTAAATTGAATTTCAAAATGTAATTTTTATTGAAAAAATATTTCCAGTTACATTTTATAGTGTAGGTATATCACAATTAAAAGTGGTTTAATATTGGGTATACGTATAATTTTGAGAGTTGTGATATATACGAGTAACAAGTAAAAATGTTATCCTAAAAAGTTAGTGTCAGCTTCAGTCTGACCTACCTGGTGCTAGAGTCCTGACGCCGTCGCAATATATAATATATAGTTCATTGGTCGTATTGCGATTTATGAAACGTGATAATATTTATTCTACCATAAATTACAGCGTGTTTTATATTATTAAATAATATAATTATTATTAAATTTATATTATTTTAAAACTAGGTAAATCAAAACCCACACACGTGTTATTATATTAGTAGGTTAAAATGCGCCACATTGAATGCTTACATACACGATGCCCAAAGAGGTAGCCAGGGGAGTTTGTGTACCGTTTCTCTAGGTATTGCCTTTTCTTTCTAATAAATGTATTATTTATGTCATTTATAAAACTGTAAAAACTTAATTTAATTTAAACTTAACCCCTTTTCATGATCCTGGCTACGCGTATGTTGACGTCGTTGGGTCGGTACTAGTACCATTAATATAACGTGTCTTTTCGGCAAACAAAATTATATAATTCGCACAGTCGTCGCCGTCGCTTCTAACCGGTCAGCGCGAGTTGAACTTCCGTTTTCCGGTCTGCCATCACTAAAATCTCCACGAATCGTTATCGTCGTTTACTCGGCCGCTCGGAGTAGACGTTTTTATTCCCGCCACTGATTATACTTTATCGGTCACCACGATACCACACGTGACCCCGTTTCTGTCAACGATCTATATACATGGCGTATAATTCGCGTTTATTTATTATTCACCTATACCCACCTTATTTGCACTTGTTTCAAATTCACGAATCCCATTTTTCACTTTGCAGCGGGTCACGCGAAACCAACCACGTCTCCTCAGTCTCGGTCGATATCTTCCCCTCCACACCCCCCTATCATTACTCCGTAACGCGAACAAGTATAGATAATGATTCGGTTGTATCGGCTTCCTAAAAAATGCAATCTGGTCAATCATACCCTTCTTATACTACGTAGGTTCGTAGGTATTTATATACCCATTGCACATATCGTGTATACAACGAGTACACGATTTAGGCGTTACTCGACTGTGCACGTACAGTAATAACTAACGAAACTTTGCGCATAATTAAATAACCCATTTAGATCTAACGCAAAGTTCGTGTGTGGATTTAATTCGAAAGTTGTCACTTTAATCACACGCAGCACATATTATTATAATGTACGCGCATCGCGTGCAGCGGACTCCTTGACTTGGGGAGGGGGGGCTTCAATAAAATACGAACACGGCGATGTCTACCCCTAAGAATATAGAATAATATATATACATAAACTACGAATATCTTTACAAGGGGACTTGTGTCTTTCAAGTCGCGCATCGTTCCGTATCAGCTATGACTGGTGGTCCTATACTGTAACGCATTGAGAATTGTATGATATCTCAACGTACCTACCTACAATACTATAAGAGTACGAATAATTCTGCAGTTTTGCATTTTCTAATTAATTATTTGTTATATCTATCATGTTATTATTATTTTAATGTTTTAATCATAAATATGGTATTAAAGATATTTTTGGTAAAATGTTTATACATTTATTATCTAAAAGCGTGATAATTTATACGAAAATAATTAATATTAGTGTAGCTCGCATAATATTATACATATTATACGTCTTAATTTTATACAAAACACAATTTTAATTATGAACATAAAAGATAAAAGATCTAATATATATATTAGGGATTAATAATACAATAATAACGAGATTAAAAGCTTAGGTATTTACGTTAACGTTTTAATTTTAAGTGGAACAATAATTCTTATTTTACGTGAAATATTTTTTTGTTTTATTATAATATACTAGTATCTAAGGGTTAGCTGATTTCTAAAGTATAGGTTACGCGGAATTCACAAGAATTATTATTGTAACTTCCTATATACTTGAATTTTATTTATTAAATATTTAATTGTTGGCAATAACAGTTCTAGCGTTCGTAATAATTTATCTTCCATTTATCATAATTGAAACTAACACTTTTTGACTTCATGATTTCTTTTCTTCAATCGCTATTATTGTATTACGTTTATGCCGTTTATATCGTATTAAGCCGATCTGTTCATTACATTTTATTATTTTAATTATTTTAATATGTTGTCTGTGCTGAGACCATACTGATCAGTTAGGTTCATTCGGAAAAACAATATTAGTATAATTTTAATATTTACATATTTATGCAACACTGATTTCTTGTAAAAATATGGTTTGCATAATTATACCACTTATTTAAGAAATGACGTATCTTCAAGAAAGGTAATTCAGAAAAAAATAATTAAAAAAACTGTTTTTTCACTACCATTAATATGTATATAATTTATTAGTGTATCCAACCCTAAAACATAATTAAGTAAAATTAAAATTAAAAATAGGACAAATTATTAAATAAGCAATATTATAGAAATATGGATGAATGGTAGTTAAATATTATTTAACTTTCTTTTGGTGTTAGATAAGAATATAAGACTATTATAATTTGTGGAGATAATTTTTAAAACAAAATTACAAATGATAATACTAATACAATTAAAACACAAATACAGCATTATAACAACAACTGATTCGTAGTCGAATCGATGACCAAGTTATTAAATTTAAATTCTAAGAATTAAAAAAATTAATTTAAGTAATAAAAAGCAATTCCTATCTAACCTTGAACAATAGCCATTACAATGAATCAATCAGTCTAGTTAAATGTTCCGATATTTAAATAGTAGCTCAAAACATTTTCCATAATTTAATTACTTTATAAAATTGTGAGTCGGGCCGAGTGAAAAACTTAATAATACGATATTACATCGACCAAAGATATAATAAAGGCATTATATATCAAACATATTTTCATTAAATTGATCGTGTGAATAATCTTATCGGAATAAGATTATTTACATTATAAAAAAAACATTTAATCTAAATAACTTAGGTCAAAGTATGTTTTTAATAACATTTTTAAGAATTTTAAGTTTAACTTATTATTTCTCATGAAATATAATATTTCAAAATATTTCAAAAACGATAATGCGTGGAAAAAATGTTTTTGAGATTCCTAGGATTGATGTATTTGTTTGTTCTGATAGTTTTTATTCAGTTATACCTGAAATAAATACCACTTACTGGCACGTAAATAGGTATATTTTTATAGTTAATGCAGCTGCGTGCCACTATAGTCACTACCCACTAAATTGTTTGTCATATACCTTATAATCAGGCCTATATGTATATTTAAAACATATCATATCTAAACCAAAACTAAAAAAAAAATGTTATATTTTTTGTATTTTACAGAATATACTCTGTACCTATACTTTTTATTTCACTAAAATACTTATAATTCAAAATTAGTTTTACATTAACAATATGTAATTAGTATATGAAGTAAAGGACAATTGGTTTGAAGAGTTTAACCACGAAAAAAATTTCAAAACTTCAATTTGTACTTATTCCGTATAAGTTCTTAATACAATATTATTATTACTAAAAATTTTAATTATGCTATTTTAAAATTAAACTGAGTGATTGTGTATCGTTTTGTGAAATCTTTTGTAATAATTATTCTCAACATCGTATACTGTCGATAATTGTTTATGTAATTGTGAAAATCTGCAGCATTTATTATGCATATCATTGTTGAACACCTGTAATAAGTCTCAAGGTGATTGCTTAAATCGCTAGGCACTTGTAATAACGAATGATGTTTAACGATTCGGACTGATTTCAGATTCAAATGTCGCAGTATTTGCATGTAGTTGTTTTAATACTAGATCATTCTACTTACTAGTGATTAAGATTGTAATAATTTGATGCACTCAAATTCAATTTCAAATAACGGAATACCTATATGTGTGGGAGTAGAGTGAATAGTGGAAGTCTGTGAGCGATGATATTATGTCAACGTGTTGGTATTATAATATAGCAATGTGTCATGTATTAACCACTAGGATGTCCGCAGAAATATAAAGCTGGATGATGGGGGAAAAGTCAAGAATATAATACATCAATACAGCAAGCCATATACAGGTCATTTTTTTACAAATTATAATAAAATTAATAAAAACTTTTATGGCAGTATGTTAATTTTTAGTCTGTTAGCTTTCATGTTCGAATCGTCTCTAAGACAATAATAATAATCATTATACAGTGCATCATAGGTACTAAGGTACAACATACGTCCCACTATATTACCTGAGCTATTTAGTATTTTATAACCTAGTCGAAAATCGATACTAGAAATAAGTAGGTACTATATATGCTAAAATAACCTATATGAAGAATTATAGTAAATATTTAAATTATTAATCAATATACTAACGTAGGTATACCAAGTAAACGATATTAATGTATACAATTAAAATAACTATAGTTAAAAATTATATTTCATACAGTTAATCTATACACTGTATTATTCATTTTTAATATTAGATATGAAAAGAAAAACTTTTATCGATGTCTAACTGAAAATATTGATAAAATATTTGAATTTTAAATGCATGCATGAAGAATAACCATGTT